CGAGTTCGCCGCAACTATGACGACGAACGAAGGTCTGCTCTCTTCTTTGCCGTGTCCAACAGTGACCTCCAGTGCAGTCGCCTGCTGCTTGAGGCTGGAGCTATGGTAAACCAGGATCCAGTCAACTGCTTACAACTGGCTCTCCGACAGGGCAACTATGAAATGATCAACATTTTGTTAAAGTTTGGGGCGAATGTGAACTACTACTCGAGAGTAAACACAACACACTTCCCCTCGGCTCTTCAGTATGCTTTAAAAGATGAGGTTATGCTTAGGATGATTCTGAACCATGGTTATGATGTTAAACGCTGCTTTGACTGTCCTTATGGTGACAGCTCTCATGATTATGCTCCATGGGCATCTGCTGTCATAAAAGACATGGTGGTGAGTATAAACATAAACATGAACGGGAGAAAAATACTTGACGCGCGTCCGTTGCCTTGGAAACAAGAGCCCGGTCCCGGTCTTTTCCTGAAACGATGTCAGACCAGACTGAGAGAGACTTTAGTGTTTTTATAACGTAAAACCATCAGCGGAGGAGATCGGGTCGACGACTGGAGAGTGAATATATTTATACTCCGCTAATGACACTGGATCAGTCCTGGTTTAGTTCCGGTCTAGTCCCGGTTTAGTCTCGGTCTACTCCCGGTCTAGTCCTTGTTTAGTCCCGGTCTAGTCTCAGTTTAGTCCTGGTTTAGTCCTGGTCCGGTCCTGGTGTAATCCTCGCGATTGTCTCGGTGATTGTGGTGTATATATTCATGCTCCGCTCATGTTTGTGGTTCTCGCTCTGGTTCTCGGGTTTTTCTTCCTGATAATAACGTTGCTGCGTCACTGGATACTCGTCCCTGATTGGTTGACGCGGCGCGTCTGACGCAAAAAGTTCAGCATTTTCAACTTCTGACGCTGACGCCTTGGACGCGCGTCTAGAGCGTCGATGCGAAAAACGCTCAAGACGCGCTGCGTTGACGCCAGATTCGCGTCGCGCTGACGCCAAAGACGCACCGCAAAAACGCAGGACGCTCTAGTCGCATATCCACATAGACTTTACATAGAAACTGGACGCTTTGACGCTTTGGTGTGAACGACCCTTACCACTGAGCCACACCACACAAATACTCTCTGTCTGATATTGATCCCACAGATATAGATAAAACATAAGAGAAAACATCATCATCAAAACAGACTTACAAAGTACATGGACAGGGTCCTTCTGTCGTGCAGTTTTCTCTAAAGAAAAACAAGAAGATCGAATTAGGAGAAAGTTTTTTTATATTGTACTTCTGGGTCCATCAGATGATAAGTTATTAAAATAAGAAAAATTAAAAAGTTAAATGCTAAGCCCCGCCCCCTGAGCACATACCAGCGTCTGATTGGCTGAGAGCATGCTGTTGTTGCTCTCGTCTCCTCTGATGGGGACCAGAGGCATCGTCCCGAACTTCTGCTTGGAGATGTCAGAGGACGAGTGTCTGCGCAGGATGGCAGGGGGCGCTTCATCGTTCTACAAGAAAAACACACAATACAATCTATATGAGCGCGCCCTGGTGGACTGACAGGGGACTGCAAGTTTAACCTCTGGAACTTGTTTAACTTTGTGGTTTCTCCGACCTGAGCTTTGAGGAAACAGGTGATCCAGCCCCACAGCTCCGCCTCCCCGCTGCAGCACAGGAACCTGCTCGTGTTTAGAGGAGAGAATAAAGGAGTTATATCACAAAAACTAAATAAAAACTGTATTTACTCTAAGAATAAACGAATAAACTCACAGCTGGTGTTTGTGTGAGATCACTGTGAAGCCCCATCTACAACGAAAAGACAACAGAATATTTGGTCACAGGTCTAAAGTAGGACTAAAGTAGGTCTAAAACAGGTCTACAGCAGGACTAAGATACGTCTAAAGCAGAACTGAAACAAGTCTAAAACAGGTCTACAGCAGGACTAAAGCAGGATTGAAACAGTTCTAAATCAGGTCTAAACCAGGACTAAAGCAGGTCTACAGCAGGACTAAGATACGTCTAAAGCAGAACTGAAACAAGTCTAAAACAGGCCTACAGCTGGACTAAAGCACGATTGAAACAGTTCTAAAACAGATTTAAAGCAGAATTAAAGTAGGACTGAAACAGGACTAAAGCAGCTCTAAAACAGGACTAAAGCAGGACTAAAGCAGGTATAAAGCAGGTCTAAAACAGGTCTAAAGCAGGACTGAAACAGGACTAAAGCAGGTCTAAACCAGGACTGAAACAGTTCTAAAACAGATTTAAAGCAGAACTAAAATAGGACTGAAACAGGACTAAAACAGGTTTAAAGCAGGTCTAAAGCAGGACTGAAACAGGTCTCAATCAGGTCTCAACAAGGTCTAAACTATGTCCAAACCAGGTTTAAACTTAAACTTAACCAAGTCTAAAACAGGTCTAAACTAGGTGCTAAAAACAGGTTTAAACTAGTTCCTAACCCGCTCTTAACCAGGTCTAAACCAGATCTAAACGGTGTCCAAAACACGTTTGAACTAGGTCTTAATCTGGTCCTAGCCAGCACTCCACGAGGTCTACACCAGGACTAAACCAGGTCTACATAGGTCTAGGATCAGGACTTTACCTGGTGGGGGCCTTGAGTTTTTTCCTGATGCCGATGTAGATCTTCATGGTCTTCAGGCTCCACTCCTTCTCTGGTTTGATGCTCTGAGCAGATCAATATAATATTAATTAAATTTAATAATAACTCAGTGTTCTTCAGGAGAACATGTGTGTCCTTCACTAGAACATGTGTGTCCTTCACTAGAACATGTGTGTCCTTCAGTAGAACATGTGTGTCCTTCACTAGAACATGTGTGTCCTTCACTAGAACATGTGTGTCCTTCATTAGAACATGTGTGTCCTTCACTAGAACATGTGTGTCCTTCACTAGAACATGTGTGTCCTTCACTAGAACATGTGTGTCCTTCACTAGAACATGTGTGTCCTTCATTTAGAACATGTGTGTCCTTCACTAGAACATGTGTGTCCTTCA